CCTAGTTAGGAGGCCACCTGGGCGCCTCCCTAGGGAGGTGTTCCAGGCACGTCCAGCTGGGAAGAGACCAAGGGGTAGACCTAGAACCANGTTCTGATGGCTTCATCGGTCTGCGACCTTCAGCACTCACTGGATCGGTTCGCAACCGAGTGTGAAGCGGCTGGGATGAGGATCAGCACCTCCAAATCTGAGGCCATGGTTCTCAGCAGGAAACCGATGGACTGTCCACTCCAAGTAGGGAATGAGTCCTTACCCCAAGTGAAGGAGTTCAAGTATCTCGGGGCCTTGTTCTCGAGTGAGGGAACAATGGAGCGTGAGATGGGTCGGAGAATCGGAGCAGCGGGAGCGGTACTGCAGTCTCTTTACCGCACCGTTGTGACGAAAAGGGAGCTGAGCCAGAAGGCAAAGCTCTCTGTCTACCGCGCCATTTTCGTTCCTACCCTCACCTATGGTCATGAAGGATGGGTCATGACCGAAAGAACGAGATCGCGGGTACAAGCGGCCGAGATGGGTTTTCTCCGCAGGGTGGCTGGTGTCTCCCTTAGGGATAAGGTGAGAAGTTCGGTCATCCGGGAGGGACTCGGAGTTGAGCCGCTCCTCCTTCGCGTCGAAAGGAGCCAGTTGAGGTGGTTCGGGCACCTAGTTAGGATGCCACCTGGGCGCCTCCCTAGGGAGGTGTTCCAGGCACGTCCAGCTGGGAAGAGACCAAGGGGTAGACCTAGAACCAGGTGGAGGGATTATATCTCTTCGCTGGCCTGGGAGCGCCTTGGGATCCCCCAGTCAGAGCTGGTTGATGTGGCCAGGGAAAAGAAAGTTTGGGGCTCTCTGCTGGAACTGCTACCTCCGCGACCCGACCACGGATAAGCGGGAGAAGATGGATGGATGTTCTTGTCACCGATTTTTTTTTGAGCAATGGTTGAAATGATTTCCTCACTACATTTCCCTATATGGATGGGAATCAGATTTTCTAGATCACACACACACACATACACCCCTACACATAGACACACGCAACTAGACACAGACACATACACACACACAAACTCCCACACGCACTACCACACACACACACCTACACACAAACAATAACATATACACACACAAACACACAAAAAATTGTAGTTTTTTGAAAATCGTTCATATGAAATTAATTAATGAAAATAAATACAAAATGGTTAGTACAAGTCAATCAACTAACAAAATAGAAAAGTATGGTGAAAATATCAGAAAAAAAGAATGGCGAAAATATTCCAAAAATTACATATAATAGTTTATCAAAAGATTTTTTGAAAGAATAACATATCAGAAAAAAAGAATGTCGAATTCAGAACCAAAAACCAAAAGTGTTTCTGTAATCCTGCTGACCAACAGACAAACCACTTCCTCAGTGGAAAGGGGATACAGGGGGCTGGCTGAAGATAGAAGAAAACATCTGCTTTGCTGAGAGACGCAACACTCTGTCTGCCTGCAGCAAAACATATTCTTCCACTAGCTAAAAAAAGCTCACGTAATGGAGCTTGCAGGTATAAGAATAAAGAATGAACTTACATCGGAGCTCTTAGTGTTGTTGTGACCTGGGAACGCCTGAAAATGCCCTATAGGGCTATTTCTCTCTTTGTGGCAAAGCTGCAATAAGCCCCTCTTCTGAAAGGCGACACTGTGAAGGTGGTCTTCAAAGAGCTTATTAGAAAGCTACAGTAGACCTCTGGAGCCTTTAAGATACAGGATCAAACGCTTCAGACTTTCATGCTACCCACTCTTGAAGAAATCCATTCCCTCTGTCCCCTCTCTTACTTTCTCTCCACATCATTAGCTTCCCGTACCTTCAAAAGAAAGAAATACATGCATTTTAAAAACGGGATATATACTGTATATATTACAGGGTATCCAAATGCAACTATTTGGGGTCTCTAGCTCTGGAGTGTGAAACTATCTTGCTTTTGATTGTGATAAAGCAGATTCTTTGTGCATCTTAGGTAAGAGATTTTGCATAAAAAAGAAACCAAAACAGGTCAAAGAGACTGAGCCTGAGAGAAGTTTAAAAATAAAGGTGTATAAGAAGGCAGAGAGAAGAGAGAGAGACCTTAAGGTGGCAAAAAAATAATTAGACATTTTCCTTCACACCTTTTTTGTCTTGCAGCTACATTTGCCATTTACAAGACGAGCAACAAACAGAGGTTCTCAAAGCGTAGCCTGGCCATTTTGTTCACCCTTTGATATTCAAAACAATGTGTGTGTTCCTGCTCTGCTTTTAAGATGTCCTGCACATGTTGCTGCAGGTGTGGGCTGCACAATTAATCCTAATTGAATAAACTCCCAATTTTGCCTCGTGCAATATCGACTTGGCAGTAGGTGGGAAATTTGATGAAGGAAATGTATATTTAAATATCAGTCTGAATAAATAATTGTGAAGCTGCAGATATGCCGGGCTACAAATCGTACCCTGAAGACTTTACGAATCACACAATGATTAATTTATTATATGTTCAATGATAATGAGGATACAAATGCATTAAAAGGTCATTCCATCCAATATCATGAATCCTACTGTATGGCATTTGCAATTCCAGTAAAAATATTATTTATAATTAGTTATTTTTCTGAGATGATGGAGCCTTAGAGCACGTATACAGTATGTGTGCATGCATAGCTCTATACAGCAGAGGCTTCATGGGTGTGTACATTGGGAATTATGAAGTCCCAGCTCCACTGAACAATTCATCTCAGCTCTTTCGTTACGCCAACTCCCTGTGCTCCTAATCCTCATTCCTAAAACGTGTACACAAACACGCACACACACACACACACTAACACACTCACACACAAACACACCCACACACAGACACAGAGGGTGAGAATGTACATAGCTTGACTCTCCCTGGTTAGCGGCGGCAGTGTTTAATGAGCTGGAGGCCGAATGCCTTTCCTTGACTGCAGCCTGTGAGTGGTTAATTAATCAGGCAGCTCTACCCCCCCCCCCCCCCTCTCTTTATCTCTCTGGAAGCAGCTCTGCATATACTATTTCATACATGGGTGAGAGCCTTGAAATTGTCTCCGCTGATGACACCTGATGCACCTCGTCACAGCAGCCCACTGCATTACACTTCCAGAAATACACAGAGAGGCGCTCCCACTGTGAGATGATGTTTCACCAACCGAGCAAAAATCATTCAAGTAAGTCAAAAATATCTCGCACAAACAAACAACCACAGGGCCACATGCTGTTCACTGATTGGCTCAAAGAGGGACTGCATTATTCAAGAGGGATGAAATGATTGGTGTCGCCTCATTTGCATGGCTTCTTCCGGTGCCAGCTGGTATCCGTCACAGAGGATGACACGCAGAGTCAACATTGTGCCACGCGGCGATAAAAAGGTGAGAGACAAAAGTCCACAAGCCAACAGTGACTCTCCCAAACGGCGAGCGCTGTCGTGGTTGATATGCAGAGGCACAGAGCGCAAACACAGAGGACGTGCTGAGAAAGATAACGTGGTTCTGTCAGGGAGGCTGTCTCTGAAATTGTTTGAGGTTTTTCTGGTGTGGCTTTGATTTGTTTGATCTCTGCACAGGCATGGTCAGTATTGCTGGCCACATTTGAGTGTCCGTTTCAGATGAGATGGGTCAAATGGAAGAAGAACTTTTTTGAACCAAAAACTTGACCACATGACGCACAAATGCTGAAAAATGCTGAGAAACAAATGCACCCGTTTCCCGTCACATTAACTGATTGACTGTCTTATAAACATTTCTTATACTTTTAATAAGTATTAGCAATGTACTTTTAAATGGCAGATTCATTAATGTGTTTTTTTTGCTTCAGTGAGGATTTGTGGTGAACTACTTCTTCTACACGATCATTTCTGTACTAAATAAATAGATACAAGGTCAACATATTCCCAACACGGTAAAGTAACTCCCACTTCAGCCTCCACTGATTGGTCAGTTTCTAGCCAAAATGAGTTAAAATGGGTCAGAACAAGATCAAAAACGATAGAAAAGTAGGTGTTAAAGAAGCAAGATTGAATCCGTCAAAAGGAAGAAGCCTATTTATAATCAAAAACACGATGATTTGACTATTAAAATGCTAGGAAATGCTAAGAAACTAATGCACCACCGTCCCATCATTACACATTCAACATCTCAGTACTAATTCACTGATGTTTTTTTGCCTCAGTGACAATTTCCATTGTACTACTTCCTAAATGATAAGGTCAACCGTTTCCATAGACAGTTACGTGGAGTCCACTTCAGCCTCCACTGATTGGTCAGCTACTAGTTCCACCACCCACAATGATTTCAAATAGTTCAGAGCATCAATACATACAGGTCATAAGGTCAACATTTAAAGATTCACAAGGCGGTGAAGTAAATCCCACTACTTCTTTTACACCAAATCAAATCAAATGGGTCAGAGCAAGATCATATGAGCAAATATAAAAAGACAGAAGGTGTAACAGGGGATGAAGCCTCTCAGGTGAGATTTGTCAAAAGGAAAGATAACTTTTTATCACCGAAAATACGAACAGAATATGATTTGTGTGTTTGCAATAACTTAGTTTGCGCCAATAATGAATTCCTTTGGTGAACTGCTTCCACCACATGTTACATGTCTGCACTACACAAATACATACAAGGTCATAATAGCCAACATGTAAAGATTTGCCAGACAGTAAGCCCCCCAATAATTGGTCAGCTTCTATAGTTACCCTACTAGAAATGAGTCAGAGCAAGGCCATGTGAGCGTGGTAGAAACAGCAGGTGTGAAAGAAGTTGGAGCCTCTCCAGGCGGCATGTATCCCCCCCTGACGCATTCACAATGAGCAAAGTGAGCAGCTCTGTCAGCCCCCTGGCAGCAATCAAGGAAGCCCCCCGAGGCTCTCAGCGTGTTCCCAGCCTGTTCATTACGGGGCGCAGGGCACAGGCGCTGTAGAGTCAGACGGGGGGGGGGCTGAGACTGCCAAGGCACACAGGGCAGCACTGACGTGTGACTGCTGGCTTACCTTCGCTCCGCACCGTGAAGGGAGAGTCTCCGGGTCTCTTGGCCGAGAGCTGGCCCCCGAGAGAGGTCATTAGAAAGCACAGGCTGAAGAAGCCAATCCCCACCACAAAGATCCTGCAGCAGATAGACAGAGACCAGAGGCCGATTAAACGACACAAGAGCATGACAGGGTTTTTTTCATTCTTTTTTTTTATTGAAGACACGTAGAAAAGACATTTGGTATATTGATACCACAGTTACAAATGTTCAACAGTTCAAAGCTACTAGTGTTCAGCTTAGTCTCTACTAATGTACATGAATTGATAAGCCACATAGTTGATCTTCACTTGAAGGTGTACAATATTTAAACCACATGTATAACCAAAACAGACCACGTAGCGTGACAGGGTTAGAGATCAGGAGATAAAAAGTAGAGACAAGAAAGTCGAAAATTACCAAAAAAGCATTTGAGTCAACATCACAGCAGGCTTCATGGAGCTTGAACACACTTTTTGTAAAGTTCATATTGCACCAATCAACCCACAGAAAAGCACAGTGCACACGCTTGGCCGTGTCATCCCAAATGAACCATTACATGGATGGGTTTTCTGCATCACACTGTGCTCAGTGAGCATGACATCCAAAATAAAAGCATTATTACAGGCGAATGGGTTGCATTTTGGGAGGAAGAGGCAAACACACAGCAAACATGTTGTGAGTCCTCCAGCTCCGAAAACAAATGTTTTGGATCGTTTAGCTCAAAACAGGCTCTTCTGCCACGCTCCAGGAGTCATGCTGGGAAAATGTTTGGAAAAAAATATTTTGTATTGAGGGGCACTGCAGGACAAATGGTTGCAATTCCATTCTTCAAGCCACAGCTGGAATTTGTATAAGGTGGGAAAACTGACAACAGAGAGGCTGCAGTCACTCCGTTACAGACGGAGAGAGTGATAGTGCCATTTTACTGTGGCACATGTGAGGTAATGATGGAAAAACTCAATGTTCAGGGAAGCATTTACGCCGTGTGGAAAGTATTTGATGCTACAGTGAGAACACACTGAACTGTACAGCATGTGAGGTGCATGTTCAATCAGGTCTGGAGGCAGAATGTGAAACACCACTGACTACACTCAGAAAGCTGTCAATCATCAGGGAACTTCACACCTGGAAGACTATAACCATCTATCACTAACACTATTGATACTGATTCCTAATTTTCTTATTTATAATGAGCCATTCAGCTTGTGTTCCTGATCAAAAGTTTTAATGACTTTATATCTGCTTCAGTTGCTTTCCCTCCTCTACATCTGCTGCAGGTAGTTTCAGCTGAGTAAGCAAACGCTCATTATGGCACAGCAGGTATTCTGTTGTTCCAATTAATGCACGTTTTCTGAACTTGCAAGAGTAGAAAACACCAGGAGGCAAACACTATTTACATTTACGATGACTTTTTGTAGTCTGATGATACTGATACAGAATAAGAAAATGTACAAGGGTGTGTTTATTGTTATAATTGGCCATGTCAGTGAATAGAGATGTAACAGATTGAAGAGGACTTGTTCTTACCTGAATGGTTTGAAAGTGAGAAGACATCTCCTCACCATAATGGACAGGTCGCTGCTGGATGCAATCATTTTCCACACACGGGCAAAGCGGCGGCTCTCCTTAGCATTGTGACAACAAGCTTCAAAAACATAACTTTAAAAAACGACAGTCCTGAGGATCAACGGTCTGCGCGGGCAACTTCCCAGCTCGACAGCCGCGTGTGTGTGTTTGTGTTTTGCTGTGTGTGTTTGAAACAACTTCAGCAGAAATCCCGCAGGTGCGTCCTGCTGCAGCAGCGCCTCGGGTATATTCCTCCTTTTCAGATTGTGCAGCGGAATAAATGTGGAGAAATAATCTGTGACACTCAGCTAGGATTGTACCCCGGACATTATTGGATAGCAGCACCGAGTGGAGCCGCACGGCTGTTACCTTTGAGTTCCTTCAATTGATCTGAGGGGCTGCTGGAGCTCTGACTTATTCTCCTCTCATTATGGGAGTAGCTGGTTTACTGGTAGCGCCATCTAACGACCGGAAAACAACACATGTATTTACTGTGTTTACCTTAAGAAAACAGACCACAGATAGAATAACCAGAGAACAAGTATAAGTCACTAAATTGATATGATCCTGCAAACAAGGCTGTGTACGATGATAAGAACATTTAGCTGAGTCTTTTATCCTAAACGACTTTCAATAATGAGGATCACAATTACAAATTTAAAAATAGCAAGAATCTTGCAAACTTAAAAAAAACAATCCGTTATAAGTGATACAGAAATGAGAATTCATTGTTTTTAGCTTTTATTGACAAAGGAGGAGTAAAAAAAGAGTTTGGATGGAAGATTTGTGGACTTTGATCAATATGCAAACATTTCTTATCAGTAGATTAATGGAAGTGATACAGTGGTAGGTTAATCCAGCAAAAACAAAGCACTATAGTCCCATTAATGATATGCAATAGTCTCCAAAACTAAAATGTAATACTGTACAGAATCTCATACATTTCAGTACCGAGGATAGCTCCCGCTGTGGCCCAGCAGACAGCAGCTCAGCAGCTACACCCAGAGGACTGAGCACAGAATACTTTGACAGCTCAAAGATAATAGTGTCCCATTTCTTAGAAAAAAGGCTTCTTCTTCATATTTATTTATGGCTTTTAAAAAGACATAGTGAAAGTTAGAGCCGAAAAACTGGCAGATATACTCATGTCTTTCAAGTGTTGTCTATTTGAGGATTGTGCTGTTGAAGAATATACACATCAATGCCTTCCTGATAACATTCTGATTTTAACTTCATTTAAAAGGACATCTTCAGGCACAATCACAAAGGCACTTTCAGGTAAAGTCACTCAGATGTTCCTGTTTTAGTTACCGTTCTCTTTTAGTTTATCCTTGGCCTTGTGAGAAATATGAAGGAAAAGATCTCAGAAAAACATTGTGACCTGACCTAGGTATACTAAGTGTACCATCTTACAGCCATCATAGAAAGAGGGACCATCGACACGTCGAGACCACATCCAAAGTCGGCCTAATGGACAGCAAGCGGCATCCTCTGTTGTCATGGAAACAGTTTTCACCCCTTCTATGTTGAGCCTCACATGTTGCCTTTTGCAGAGACTGCTGGTATACCATGAGCCTGGGCTGGGGTCTGGAAATGAACCACTCGTCAGTTCACATTCACTTAAAATCAGAATCACAATACTTGAATTATCCGTGAGGGAATTTACATTTCATGACAGTCTATTCTATTTGATTGAATTTACTTGCACTATTGTATCTGTTTTGTTGTGTTGCACTGTTGGAGGAGCCTGGGACCTAAGATTGACATATTAAATAAATACATATTAATAAAAACATAAGAAGTTAAAGTAAATATGACTTTCTCTTGACAATGTCGCAGGGCTTCATTACAGGACATGGTTACATAAAACTTCAGCTATAGTGTCTAAGTTTAAAAAAGGTTGTGTGTGTGTGTGTGTGTGTGTGTGTGTGTGTGTGTGTGTGTGTGTGTGTTCATTGAATCTGGGATTAGCTCTAACTCCCTTTTGATAAGAGGAAGATTCATAATGCCACCTGAAAAAGTTAAAGCAAGGACACCACCACCAGAAGCCTTTCAGGATATTACTTCATCTTATCTCTCTCATCCCCGATTTCTACTTTCCCTTTTCAACTTTGCATGGCTTTCTACAGTCCTACGTAATTCTTCCTGTCTGTAAGTCTTTATATTTCTTCTTGTTCTTACTCTTCTCCTTCTCCTGCTGCACATTGACCTCTTCACCACTGCATTATCCACAATATTTGTTATCTTGCTGTCTCATATTTCCTCTCTGCCAGAGTCTCTCTTTATTTGTCTCTGTCTACGGGTCCCTTGAGTATCTCCTTCCACTGCACTCTCTCTCTCCCTCCCACTGTTTGCTTTAAATCCCTCTGCTATACTGAGGATTCACAGAGCCAGACGCCCAAGGACAAATAACTCTTAAAAGCATTTCCTTTATATTAAACACATTTAACGGAGAAATATACATCGGGGAGAAACAGAAGTGGAAAATGCAGGCTTATGTTTCACACCATGGGAGGAGAATGAATTATACTTAGCTTCGCAGCAGAGGTAAAACCCAGTCATCGTATGTGCAGCTAGTGTTTGTGCAGAGAGTGTTTTTACTAGTTCTTCTGCCAATGTGGGAGGGAATCAGGGACTGAATCCTAAGCAGCACTTCACACGACTGTCTTCTTTACTGAGATTCACATAAAGAAACTATAGCTTAGTGTTTTCATAACATGTAATCACATACCTGCCTTCAGTGCCATTCAAATGCAAGAGTTGATGAAAACCTCGAAATGGCACTCATCAGGTGGAGAAATCACTGGGCTTATTGTTTTTCTGGATATTAGACCACCATAAGACAAACCATAAAACTGTCTTAGCTAGCTCATTGTTCATATAAAAAGTTACAGCCACCTTGGTTACTAATCTCAAGAACATGAGATCAATTCTGTATGTACATTAACTTAAATAGGATGTTTTTTTGTCTGGCTACCTTTCAAAAACATTAACGTTGAGCATAGATTATTTGTGGATTGATGACTATTTCCACACATTAACTACTTTACAATAAAAGCTAAGTTGACAAGAAATGAACAAACTGACTGACCATGGCAAAATGACATTGCCTTTAATATTTTAAGCAGCTCTCGGACCACATCATTCAACATGTTTCAGGTGGAGAACCAGCTTTCGACATTTTGCTATTAACTCCCAGTCCCACAATGTTCTGCAATTTTGTTTGACATCGACTGACTCTAACCATGAACACTTGAAAAGACTATTTTCTTTAAATTCTTCACATCACCCCCTTGAGCTACCTACAGTATATGCTCTGAGTTATTTATCACAGAGGAGCTCTCAGCAGATGACTGCTCATAGATAGATCACCTGTTTTACACTGCCATAAATGTCTAACGCTACCATAAATGTAACTGGGAGTGATAGCTCAGCGCCTGCGATGCTCTAATGTTGGTGCTGAAAATATAGCAAGAGTCCTAATGTTCATTACAGCTCCATCAAGATTCAATGCATTCAAATCTAAACGTATATCTTCTCCCTCTAGGCTCTCGCAGCTACATCATAATGAGATACAATATGCCATCTTCCATTACATTTCATATCAAATGTATTATTTAATCAACAGTTACACAGCAAGGGTAGGCTTCATAAATGGATGTGTGAGACTGTATACCTGCAGAGACGCAACTCACATGTAGCTTCAGAGTTTCAGATATTTACGTTGTTATCTTAACGCCACACTGTATGAAAAGAGGTCGATCTGTCAAAATGGGGGGACTTATACAAGGCAAGGCAAGGCACGTTTATTTATATAGCACATTTCAACACAAGGCAATTCAAAGTGCTTGACAAAAATGAAAGAGTCCGACCCTTGTCAATTAACTACAGGGGTCCCTCAGGGCTCTGTCCTTGGTCCCCTCCTCTTCTCTCTGTACACAAACTCGCTCGGATCTGTCATTAGCCTGCATGGTTTTTCATACCACTGCTACGCTGACGACGCCCAATTAAATCTGTCTTTTCCCCGTTCTGAAACCCAGGTCGTCGCACGCATCTCTGCTTGTCTAGGTGACTACTTGTTTGACTGACTGGTACCGTTTTACTGTAACGGAAATTATAAAATTCGTCGAGAGCCTGGTGTAGTAAGTTGTACAAAGTCCACCTCTTGGTCGAAAGCTGTAAAACGATAATTGAGGGTCAGGGTGTTACAAGACGTTAAAACAAACTGTAGCTGACTGAGATTGGTACTTGTGAACTTTTCTGATAAAAGAAATTTAAGAAGTGTAGTGGGGGAACTCGATGGATGTCATATACGAGACTCAATAAATAGTGTCTCCTCGAGAGTCGTCTACTGACGAGTATCTATCTAGTGGACAAAATGTGACGGTATTTACAGATTGCGATGGTATTTACATTGACCCTCACTATCGAGTCGCGGACGCTACGAGATTACAACCACGACTTTTATATCGTTCTCAGGATTACAAGTAATGTCGAGGTAGTTCTAAGTTACGTAAGTTTAGATTTGCATATAGAAGAGGGAGATCCGAGAGCGTCGATGTAGTATTACTCTATGTTATACGGTAGAAGGTAATGTAAAGTATAGTTTACATAATAAATTAGTTGTCAATGTGTCGTTCCCATCCGAAGTATTTACCTACACACTCTGACATATGGACGTCTCTGCGTTGAGTGTACATCGAAGTCTCAAAGTCTATAAATGCAACAATAGAATTGCGGTGTGACATACTTTTCTCCAGCTAGACAGTTTTACCCCCCTGAATATGTTCCGTTCCGTTCCGTGCAAATAAATATATCGTGTAAAGTTGTGTTCCGTTAAGTTTCACGAACTGTTTTTACTTTCTCAGGCTGGGAACAGTTAATTGATGTCCCCAGGGAGTCCCGAGACAGGAACCAGGGGAGGAGAAGAGAGACATGTGTTTGAGCGAGCCTAGACAGTAATCGGACGTACCAAAAAGTATGGTGACGATGCGACTGCTGCGGGTTAATTTAGACAGAAAAGGGGCAAGACTTTGGGTCCAGCAGCGTGCGTAGAGACGAACAGATCCACTGTAGAGAGTCGACCTACAGACGAGCTGGTAGAGTTCCCGAGTTGGAACTGTTCCCTGACTTTTTGACGCGGTAAAGGAAGCGCCTTTTTCTAACAGGTGTGAGAACTGGATTGTTAGTGTGTAGTCGTGGAACAACCATAGGGCTGAGTCTGACGGTTCCTTAGACGCACGACTGGGATCTATTGTTTACGAGGAAGTGACCGTTTGTATCGACGGATGGTTGGCGTACCGACATCTAGTGAGAAATGTTTAGTCCGTCCTATGCAGGTGGAGGACTCTGCGTCTTGTCGCTGCGGTTCGAAGACCGAGTGTCCTCCCCTGCGATAGGAAGGACTACAAACATTTTCTGCCACGCATAGATGTCGTGCCCAAGGACATCGGTCGATGGACAACGTCTACTTCCTGTCAAACGAACAAAGAAACACAAAAAAATCCAATAGATCCCAGTGCTGTGGGTGCTTAAGGAACGGGTACAGACATCAGCCCCTTTTGTTGTCTCCACGGACTACCAAACGTACAATCCAGTTCTCACCCTGTTAGATAAAGGGCCTTCCTTTACGATCAAGTCAGAACAGTTCAACTCGAACTCTTACGGCAGTCGTCCGTAGGTGGTACT